CCCCAAAACCCCAAAACCCCAAAACCCCAAAACCCCAAAACCCCAAAACCCCAAATTAATTTAAACTGTTGAAAAAGAACCCCAGCAATGGAACCAACAATTAAGTCAACCAAAAACAATAATTCCCCCTCCCAGATTCCCCCCTCACTCAGTTTCAAGCCAGAAAGGGAACTCAACTCTGGCCTGAGCCCACAAGACCGGCAGGACTTATCTGCCCTGTGAAAGGAGCATCGTATTATCAATGCTTATTGTGCAGCAGTTATTAAGGAAATGGTTAAGAACATGCAGAAGAATGTTAGTGAAATTTATAAGACCCTTAAGAAAGTCCACATTAATGTTGCCACTTCGGAGCTTTTGGAGTTAAGGCCACCATGTGTCAAAGAAAGTGGAGACAAGTACTTTGGACACTGGAGTAAACTCTCTGATCGAGAAGAAGGACAAGGAATCACCATAACTACAGAAGGTACTGTTTATCAAGGATTCTGGAAGAATGGGTTTCCAGATGGCCAAGGGACTTTTATTTATACTGATGGTGTTATTTACCAAGGAGACGTCAAGAAAGGCCTTAGACAAGGCAAAGGAGTCATGGTCTACCCAGATGGCGACAGGTACGAAGGCAACTGGGAAGACAACAAAAGGAACGGATATGGAATCACGACTTGTGCAACAGGAGACAGATATGAAGGAGAGTATGTAAACAACACCAAGGAAGGAACTGGAACACTATCTCGGAAAGATGGGAGGTATTATCATGGCGAATGGAAACAAGGTAAATATAGTGGGTACGGATGAACTTTGAAAAAGAAAGGAAATGAGTACTTTGGATGCTTCGAGAAAGAAAAGTTTACTGGTCTAGGAACTTTTATTAAGCCTGATGGCAGTATGTTTGAGGGAGAGTGGAAAAACGGAAAGCCAAAGCATGGAAGATACACAGACTCTTTAGGACGGGAATATAATTTCACAGATTGCCACAAAAGCAGAGCTGTTATAAGAAATTTATTGAAATAGATGAGCATTTATCAATTCAATACCTGACAATTGCTCTGGGGTTTTGGGGTTTTGGGGTTTTGGGGTTTTGGGG